CGTGCAGAACCCGTCCCCCTCCTCAGGTGCGAGCCCGCGACCAGAGACCGCCTCGGGTACGGGCTCCCGACACGGGTGCCGGGACCGGAAAGCCCGGGAATTCCTAAAAAGCCTTTCCCCCCCAAGAAACAGGACACGAGGTGGACAGGCGCCTGCCAGCGGCTTCGGCCGCGGTATAAGCACCGCGTCTGTGCTTGTGTGTCTGCAGTGAAGTTCCAGCCATCCCTCCTGGGCATAGTCGCTCAAGAATGGTGTCTCGGAAAAGTGCAGAATTTAGTTTTCATGTAGTGCTGCTCTCGTTTTCTGCTTGGGGCGTGGTAATTTTTGCTTAAAAATGTCTTTTGCAGAGTCTAGATCTACACTGAGACAGCTGCTGATGTTAGAGGGCTTGTGTTAGAATGCTTACTGGAGTTCTCAGGGTGTCCGATGCACTTAAAGTTGTCTGCTGCATATACAGCCTACTAAAAGTATAAAAACATGTATTATTGTGCTGAAAGGTTGATGAGTCTTGCATTAATGGTGATTCTATTTATCATTGCTAAGTTTAGTAGAGTTAGGCTTTGCAGTGTAGAGACCTTTCTCTATTTTGCTTATGTGTTAGAAGCAGTCCTGTTTCGGGGGGGGTCCTTAGAGAAATTTCAGTAATTTAGCATGAGCTGTCATGCTACGCCTATAATACTAAGCAAATAAAATATTTCAAGCCCCCACAATATGAATGTACTTTCCAGACTTCCCTTACATGTTGTTGTCTTTATGGCCCACTATACATGTGTACCTGTGTTGCTTTTCAAGAGCATGAGCACAGCACTTTTCTCCTAAAGGTTATCTCCACTAATGCAGTGTTTCACTTTAAGAGCAGGCATGCACCCTTGAGAGGACATTAGTGGCTTACATACTGGGGGGAGTGAAGTCTGGAAGACTTTATCAACTATCCCCAAAATACTGTGCTGCTGCTAGGAAGCCTGTGTTTGTGCAAATACTGGGCAAGGGCAGTCTCGTTATTATTCACTATGGAGACTGGTTTTGCAGAGGAAAAAAAATGTGTTCAAAACAAAATAAATTCTTTTGTGCACTTTAAGAATTTGGGTGCTGTCCACTAGGTATAAGACCAACAGGCAAGGTGCTGACAGTTTTTGTACAGTTGGATGTGTGTCTGCTTTGGTACTTTATGTTGCTAGTAGATTGCAGCTTTGACAGATGTAGAGGAATTTATTCCATAGGAGTTCTTCAGAGCAGTCAAATGTAAGAATTGATTGAGAATAAGTAAAATGAAGTATCTAAACTAAGCATCTCAGATAAAAGTTTTCTAAACATTTGTACTGTTACATAACAATAACTCTTTTACTTCTTGTGGTGTAACACCCCCATCCTTGTGACTACTCTGCCTTCTTGGAAGCTCCTGGTGAGCCCTGACCAAACCAGCTGAGTGGTGAAGTGTCCCTTGACTGTACCAGTTGGGCTGCAGGGCACTCCCTGATCACACCAGGAGCTCTGGCATGATGAAGGTGGGAAACAAAGGATAAGCAATTACCTCTTGTAGCCTTGGTAAACCATTTACCTGGCTGTAGCCCGAGTGGAACAGTACCATTGTTACTGCACTTTGGGGAGAAAAGCTTACTAGTTACTGACTTGATTTATGGTTGGGAAGGAGGGTTACTGATGGCCAGAGTCAGTCATCCTCTGACCCTCTAAACAGCAGTCCTAAGTGATGTTGTTTCGGCTTGCCTGGACCAGCACCCCCCAGAGCTCACAAACCCTTAAGTTTGTGGTACTCAAGGACTGTCAGCCCCTCTCCCTCCATCTAGGTGTTCCTCAAGATGCAACCATTGCCTGTTGGGAAATGCAAAGGGATTGTAATTATAATATTGTAATGAATAAAAAATAAAATATTGTAATGAATTCAAGGGGAATTTTTCATATTAGCCTTTATGTACATATAAATAGGTGTATACACCATTTACCTCTGTGTATGTGAATTGATTGTGATACAAATGTTAATATTTTGAATCCATAGTTAAGTCATTGTTATAGTTGTGAAAATTATCAAACCACTTTGTAATTGTCAAAGTACTCAAGTATTAAGTGCTGCTAAATCCTTCTGCACCCTTATCTTTCCACCCCATATCCTTTGCAGTCTTACTGCTTTTGTGTAAATCATTCCAAATTGCTTATTTGATCTTCCTTTGCATGCTTTAGACTGTGTAGTAAGTAGTAGTGTGAACCTTGCCACTGAACTCTGTAAAGTTGCATTTTCACGTATCTATATTAAACCCTGCTTTTGCCAGTACCTTTGAGAGTGTTTCTTTAAGCAGCCAAACCACTCATTCGTGAGGTCTGTATAAGGCAAAATTGTAACAGGTACAGCATCCTCACTGATAACGTGAGAGGCAAAGTGTAGAACAGCAAGATGAGCTTAGAGTAAGGTTTGCTGTCTTTCTGTTACCTTGTCTGCTGCAGCCTCTCTATCTACTGCTTCCCCTTGCTATGGCTGATTTTATAGTGAGACAGTAAATGTCCAGAGCAAGAATCTGTGTTTGCAGAACAGCCAGTGTCACAGGTGGGTAGTGCAGAGGGGGTCTTCTTCAATAAGTATTAGCGCATCACTAAGACTTTTGACAGGGCCTTGGAAAATACAGGAGGGCAACAGAATTTTATATGTTTATTTAAAACTGTCCATCCACTAAAGTAGAATATCCTATCAAATACTTTCAAAAACTGTGTATTACAGAAGGAAGTAGCCTTTGAGCATGCCGGATCTTTCTGTCTTCTTCTCCCTTTTTCTTGGAATTTGTTCTCTTTTAGTTTTTAGACTCCTAAATACATTAACTTCTGAGAGATTCTTTTTTCCTCTGAGGAAGTTTGAATTAAAGAATGTACATGTTGTATTTCCCAACAGCTTGCTGCATTTTATTGCCATTCACAGTGAAGAATATTTAGAGGGGGGGGTTTGTAAATCCTGTTTTTTTGCAGCTTGCTTTTAATTTTAAAAGAGTTTAGTCTTCAAAGGGAGCATGTTTTGCTGTGTGGTTGCCACTGTAATGAGCACTTAAAATAATCAGCCATATGTAAATAACATGATGATACATGTGTATTGGCTGAGTTTTATATAGAAAAGAATATTATAGATAGTTTCGTGGGGAATTTTGCACTGCATGGAGCAGAGTGTTTAACTCGTTGTGACTGACATTTTTTCTGAAGCAGGGACGATCTTTGTATTTTAGTGGTATCAACATAAGTTAATGTAATTTACATAGTGCTACCTGTTGTAGTGTATACTTTCAAAACAGACTTCACAAAGAAAGAGTTCTTATATGACAGATGTGCCTTGTTTTCTGCACATCCTTGACTGTTTTATTTTGTATTTGTTACTGGCATCCTCAGTACTGGTCAATTTACAGCTATGGAATTGTTTCATTTCAGCCAGTTAATGAAAAATTTATATGTGGCCTAATGGTAGCTTTCAAATGAAATCTAGAGTTTAAAGCTCTCAGGTCAAGAAGTAAGAAAAACTAAAGCTTTTATCATAATTTTTTGTGCTTTTTGTGTGTTTGTTTGTTTGGTTTGGTTTCAGGGTTTTTTTGTTTCTTTGTTTGTTTGCTGAAGCAAAGGAATTCTGTCCCAAATGAAGTGTGATATATAGTTTAATCATGGTAGTATTGGTTTAGGTTTGGGGTTGTGGTTTGGTTGTTTGGTTTGTTGTTTTTTTTGTGATGAGATAGAAAATATGATTGGCTGTTAAAGCAACAACAGGGAAATAACTTGGTTTTTAAGGCCCTTCTTTTCATTCCAGTATGATGATTCAGGATACATAGTGATTTTTTTTTTTTTTTATATTGAACAACATATTGGAAGGTGAGCTATGAGTATTTTCTATAGTCTAAGACTGGTTTTCAGTGGATGTTGACATAAGAAATATTATTATATTACTATAATCTTTATGTAAACTCACAACCTGTGTGCTTTCTTAAGCAATTACTGT